CTTTGTTTCAAGGAGACAGCACATTTTCTAGTGTAATGATCCACTCTAGCATGGCTGCCATATGAAGCTGCTTTAAAAAGGATACCCAGAAATCATCATGGAGCATCTTTCAAGACTGCCAGCTTTTTAGCCGTATCCCATTGGAATCTGCTTTTTGTGAGAGGGGAGTGGGGAATTCCCATCATTAGGACAGTAAAAGGACCTTTTTTAGGGGTTTAATAGACACAACTTGTGTTGAAGATAGTGTTTTATGCTGTGAGTGATGGTGAGGGCAAATGCTGGAGTAATAGTGATGCTTATTTTATAACCCTGATAGCTGCTGGCTTCATCTGCCAGCCAGTATGCTGGGTAGGAACTATATGCAATCTGTTATTGAGCTAGCTGGGTCATTTTAGATTTTGTAGCTGAGCTCTTATCTTTCAGCACAGGGATGACATGAGGTAGCATTCCACTCTTCATGGCCTTTATCAGGAATATGCAGGCGGCACTCGTGGCCCGTTGTGACCAGAAACTGGCCTTCCATCATAAGAGTCTTTCTCCTGCAAAACTGTCCAAACTCTGGAAGAGGAGGTACAAAAGCAGTAGTGTTTGCAGTGAAGCATTTCCTTCAACATTTTTTTCAGAGGAAAGTTTGCTATTTTCTCATACATAAAATCCTTACTTCAAAGCGGTCAACTTATGTTCTCTTCTGCTATATATCTTTTCTGATGTTCTGATGCTCCAGTCTTCCCCTTTGCATTAGATTTTTGTAGTGTTGGCATATTTAACAGAATTTATTGCTAATTTTCATCAATGATATTTTATCTGTTAGCCGAGACAATGCATAAAACACATAATCACAGATGCTCATGAAGACTTTCTCTCCTCCCAAAGGATGTGGGTCATCCTTTGGACCAGTACTTTTTTATGACCAGATATCGAAATTGTTTTCAGGTCATTTCTTCCAAGATGTGCTTTCATGCTGCACTGCATTGCCTTGCCATGCTATTACTGATAACAGTTGTACTTCCTTTTGTTTTCCTGCTTTTTCTCTCCTTCTAGATATGAAATTTAGTTGTATTAAGGCATTAAATCAGTTACTACTTAGCAAAAAAAGATGCCTCGCTACCAGCAAATTCCTGCTGCATTGAGGAAAAGCAGTGTATGTTATGTGATTGAAATGCAGAAAAGGTGTTTCTAAAAGATACTTCTTGCATCTTGCAAAGGATCTGTTGCTGAAGCAAGAATGCTTCGTGGCTCATAGTTCTAGAGGACTTATTGCACGTTCAGGTTGGCAGTTCTCATGGTTATGCAGTGCTAGGTACTGCTAAAAGCAGTTTTTCTCCCAGAGGAGAAATTCTCTGGTTTTACTTGCAGTATATACGTGTGTGCCCATCAGCACTGGAAACAAATCCAAGGTATTTTGCCTCATCTCTTGCAGCACTACACCATAGCAGTGCTGTCCAAATCCCATTAGTCATCTTCCCTTGATTGTTGTGAACACAATGCTTATAGGGCATTAAAGATCTCTGAAAACTCTTTTCTCTAATAATAACTAACACAACCCTTTTAAATTCTTGGCATTTTTTTTTAATGTTTACACAGCCGTTTGTGTCTGCTTGAAAACCAAGCTGTGTCGTAAGGAACTCCGCTCCCACCCATTTCATCTCTCATCTGAGACTTCTTGGGGGGAAGAAATAACCTTGAGAAACAGTTTAAGTGAATAAGGAGGCAAGCAGTCTGCCTCTAGCGAAGTTTTTTTGGTACTGATGTGTCTTATTGGTGTTTAGGAACTAAGCTCCAAGAGAGTGTGTCTTAGTGATGAAGAACTTGGAGAAATCTGTCTTTAGGCAGGCCTTGACTTGATATTAGGACAAGCTTTTTTGATTAGTCATGTAACATTTGGAATATAGAATCTTTAGTATTAATACAACTTCTGCTGTGTACGCTTTGTTCCTAACATGCACAGTGTCCTGAAAAGAGTTTGTCTTTGGTAGAGTGAAACGGATGCACTAAATGAGTTATTCTTGGAGTGAGAATAGAATTTTTGAGATTGGAGAGCTTTAGATGCTAGTGAGATGAATTTAAAAGGCAATTATAATAAGTTCAAGGCTGAAGCAATGATATTTTCCTTTTTTTCCTTTTTGCCAATAAAATGTGGAAAAATACATTAGTGTTATTGATCTGGCTCTGTAGAAAGTCATCAAGGAAAAAGGTTTGAGTTTCTATCAAACAATGCTTTGTTCTACCTTGTCAGCCTTTTCTATTTCAGGTTATCTGAGTAGCAACCTGATTCAGTAGTAGAATCAAGGTCATATTTTATTCAGTACAAGAAAATGGAAAATCTGGCAAGAGCCACGATACTTGTTTTGAAATGGTTTTATTTAGCTCTTTCTGCTACAACTGCTGTCAATAGAAAGAGATAAAGCTGATGACAGAATACAAGCAATTAGCTGTTCATTATTCATGGTGTGCTAAAGGTATAAGTCCATAAAGGATTTTCTTATTTTCTACATGGGTCTGTCTGGCTTTCAGACATAGCTATAGTTGCTTGGCAAGAAATTAGATGAAAGAAAAGATGTGTGTGTGTTTGTTTTCAAACCTTAACAACAAATTTGAACAGAATTTAGTCTACAGAGTTTTCATGGACTAATTCAGTAGTTAAAATTGTACTGTAGCAGGATTATGTTCATGTTTAAATCCTTTGCAATGAGAACAGACTCATTAGGTTCTAGATTTATGTAGCTGGGTAGCATAATGTCTTAGTGCAGCCTATGGATCTGACAAGCTCTATTGTGAAGGCCTTAATATTTTTTGTTGCTATTGTTGCTTTTTAAAAAAAAAGCTAAATTACAAATTTAGAGATGTTGCAGATCTAAATAGGATAAGGTGCAAAGGAGTGAAGGTTTGCCTCTGAAGGCAGCCAACAACAAAATTGTGTATAAAGAAAGATTATCAGTAGCATTGTGTTACATTGTTTTTTCTTCCAGGAAATGTTTTTTTTCCTTAATGCAAGCAGAAATTTAACAAACCTTGTTAGAACTTCAGTACCTCAAGAAGTCCCTGGTCTAGTGCAGTGAATGAAAACGTCTGCCATGCTTTGTAAAAATTCTACATTTTAGTGGTGGTCTTGGCATTTTCATCTGGATTCTTACCGATTGTGGCTAATCTGTTTTTCTGCCTGCTTAGGAGGGTTAATGTCCTTTTGTTTAGGACTGCAGTGTGTGCATCCAGGCACTGTGAAGGTAAAAAGCATATATATGAAATCCAAGGAGTGCCAACCATCAGAATTCTGTGGGATGGGTTTTTGTTTGGTTGTTTTTCCTTTTTTTAAAAAAAAGTCAGGCTTCAGCTACACATTAGTGTTAAGATGAATGAAACAAATTGCAGTTTTTATTCAAGGTGTCAGTCTTCAAACTGAACAGCCACCCTGAATACAAAATGATGCAGTTCAAGTTTGAGAGCTTTAAAATGAGTAAAGCAGAGGCAACTTTGGAGGGGGCTCTGGTCTGATGTTAGTCTCCTGCTGTGCATGTAATTTCCTTGTAAGGTCTGCCAGGTTTGCAATTTTGTTGTTGTTTTTAAAGGGGGTAGAAAGGAAGAGGAAAAAAAATCTAGTACATATGAAGCTGAGTAGAAATTTTTCAGGTAAATTTTGTGGCATGTTCTTCAGTGAATATGCTCCTGTTTAGTTACAGCTCTAAGCTAGTATGTGACAAACTGGCACAAACTTCTAAACTGCACTTTCTTCTCCCCAACACTGGCAGAGGTTAGAAGTGGCTGGCAGAAGGGCAGAAACAAAAGATATGGAGGAGAGGGAATAAGAGTGAGGAGGAGCTAGGAAGCTCAAACAAGGACAAAATTTCATTGTAGGGGAGCACTTAAGGCACAGGAGGAAGGCTAATAACTGACAACAAATGCTAGGGGAGGGAGAGAAAAGGCATCATTAACCACTGTAACACGTTTTCATGAAGAAACGACAATTGTGATCACTCTTCTTGAATCTTAACGTTGTTTTGTTTGATAATAAAAAGCTGCAAAATTTGCTGGTGTTCTCAGAATTACCATCTGTTAGTAGTTATACATGAGAAGCCTTTTACTGTTTCATGTTAATCACATTTCCCAAGTTGTGAGAACAAAACTTCAGCATGAAAATAGTTCTGCAAAACTCTATTTACAAGATGATCTTTGATGAGACTATCTTGGTAGTTAGATTGTAGGGATGTTTTTGGAATACGCTTTTATAAAAATTTAACTATGAATTATTCATATAAAGCCTCTTAAATTGAAGTAGATTAGCTTTGCAAGAAGATCATTATTCATTAGATACTAGTTTAATCTCAACTTCACAACTCAGTATGGAAGTTATGGAAGTTTATAGAAGTTATTTCACTGTAAAATTAAATAATTATTGGGCCAGCATATTTGGTATTTTTGCTAGTTTTGATGCATGTGTCACTTTCTTTTGTAAGGAAGAAAAGTCTCCAATAATCTGGCCTCATGCTCAGAGCAGCTATCAAGGAGTTCTTAGCATTAGTTCTCTCCAGGTCATGTACCCCCTCATGCTGGCATTTCTCCCTTTCCTAAGGGATTTATTGGGTAATAAATAAATCAAACACTTTGAAGAATTATCTGGATATAAAAATGAAAGAGCAGAGCTTTCCTTCTGTAGTGTAGAAGAGTAATATTTTTGAAAAACTTTGTGATTTTAATATTATTTTAATATCAATAATCATATAATAATCAGTTTTAATAATATCAATATTTTAATAACAGTACTCATACACTGAGTTATTCAGAGACTGAATACTGTAACCTCTTTACTTAGTGATTCAAAGTACATTAGAAACAGTTGCTTACATGTCTAAGATTATAACATACCAAAACCAGATTGTGGCACAAAGTATTTATATTTATGGTGGTTAAGAATAAATGAAAAAGCATAATCCTATCCAGGTGCGGATTTTGTAAATGTCTTCACATGTGAAACTTTAAATGCTTAAAAGGAGCAGCAAATATAAATGACTTCTTCCTGCAATTACAGAAGCTGCTGGGTTTGTTTTGCTACTGATGAGGATGATCGGACAGCAGAGTGGGTGAGACCTTGCAGGTGCAGGGGATCCACGAAATGGGTTCATCAGACTTGTCTACAGCGCTGGGTGGATGAAAAGCAGAGAGGAAACAGTACTGCTAGAGTTGCCTGTCCTCAGTGCAATGCAGAATATTTAATAGTCTTTCCAAAGCTAGGTAAGAAATGTACCACTTATAAACCATTATATTTTTGTTTAAAATCTTTCTTTGTGTGGTTCCTGTCTTTTTTCTTTCCTTTTTTTCTCAGATCTGTTGGAATTGTTGGAATTCTGCTCTCCAAACAGAAACAATTTGTTCTGCACACATCTGTGTTGCCTTAGTTAACTGTATCATAAAGATTGTTTCCTTACTTAGATGTATTGATAAGTCTTAAGTAATTGACCTGTTTAAACTTATGGTTAACATCATTATTTTTTTTGCCTTGCTGAACAGAGAGAGACTTTCAGCAATTGACACATTAGCACATTAAAACATGCCAGATTTATTGAGCCTGCAGAGAAACTGTTATCAAAGGAAATTTGGAGGAAGGAACCTTGCTGAGCAAGATGTTCCATTACCTGAAACGATATTTTTATTCTGCTTAGGAAATAACAAGTGAATATTGTTCTAGATTCAAGATGTAAGAATATTTCTATTTGGTTGTTAGACAGTGCTCTAGCTCAGTTTGTCAAGGTGAAAGAGGAGCGGGAGATATTCTTCCAGAATCTACTTTGATGAGATGCAAGGAAGACGCTGCACAGTATATAGCAAAAAATGTAGCCGAGTAAACTGTACTGTAGCTTTATTTATTATTTTTTCTTCTCCCTTCTTGCATAGAAGATGAAATAACTGCAATTTTTACTCCTAGAATATCTTACCCATACATTAAAGAGAAAATATAGTAAAGATGAATGTCTGTTCCCATCTGATACTGTTGTTCCTGACTCATCTTTACATCAGTTCTGTATTTTGCTCATGCTATGAAGCTCTTTCCATAACTGCAGTAGCTGAAAACTTAAATTTTTATTATAAATAGCACTTAATGTGCTATATAGCAAGTGACTAAATCTTAGGGAATTTCAAAGAGGACTTTTTACAGCTTGTTGTTTTCCAATTGGTTTTAAGACAGCGATTGAAAATACCTTGTGCTGTCAGCTCTTAGGGACAGAGCCCCATTGTTAATAAAAGGCCTGACCCAATTATGAAGAGAGGAAATTTTATATGCCTGGTGATACATATTGACAGGGTGGAGCACTGAGTCATGGTAAAGAAAATACGATACAATAAATTGGCAATACTCAAAAATATAAAACAACATGTTAACTTACTAATAAGATGCTTGTATAGTAATCCTTAAGTCAGTTTTCCTGTAAGGATAAATTAGAGTTTTCCAAACAGTTTTCCAGCTTTCCTCGGTGACTGTGAAAACCCTTCAGGGTATGGAAACTACTGTGCACTTAGTTTGTAGAGTTATGACCTTGATGCCACCTTCCACAAACTTAGATCAGCACGTTAAGTCTGGAAAGTCAAACAACAGTTGAACAGTCTGTTCTTTTATTTATTTTTTATTAAAATGTTCCCTCTTTGGAAACACAGTGGGATACTCGAGAATAAATTATCTGTATGATTAAGCTTTGTTAGTTGTATTGGAAGCCAAGTGCTGGTGAGATGCTTACTGTTTTGCAAGCCGCAAAAGAAGATGCTTCCAGCCCTTAAAGCTAGAGCGGCTACTGAAACCAAGAGTGCGCATAGCACTAGAAGAGGTAACTAGAAAAGGTAACCAATTTAAAATACATGAATAGTAGGGTGAAAACTGGAAGATGCAGCACAGTTGGAATAGAGATTGTGTTGAAAAACAGTGTCTAAGCCATTTAGAACGGCTCAGCACAGTTTCATACATAATTTACTCAGCCATGTTTGCATTACTTTTGTCAAGATTGCATATCACTTATAGATGTGTTTAAATTGTACCCTCTTTAGTATGGTATTTGCACAAATACCAATTAAAAAAAGCTGCAGTCCTTATATAAAGTCTGTGGATGTTACCACCGCTGTTCACATAAAATGTTAAATGCTATACTGTCCTTTTTAAAAATAAAAAAATGAGGAGTACCTTACAAGAAAACTAATACTGATTTTTGAGAAGAATTTTCATTAATATTTTCATTAATGATTTTAGCAGAGGGGAAAAAAAATAGAGCCCTAACAAGAACTATAATTCAAATTGTGAGCTGGAGGACAATCTTTATGTAGCAACATGTTTGCAGCACAATGGGAAGACACTAAGTTATCAACTGTACTTGTTTATTTTCTGTCAGGGTATGGTATAGTTAAGGTATTTGTTAGTAAATTTATTAAAATTTACTACTCTTTTGCTGATTTTTCAGGAGGGTGAAAACTAGAAAATTCTTCTTAGAACAAATGAATTACTAGGATTAGCCTGATTAGGCCCCTTCTAGCTACACAGTTACAAAAAGCAGCCCCTCAGCCTCAGTGCTGTAAATCAGCCAGTGCAGTAACCAGTATGTTTCCCCCTCAGAAAGATGTTGCAGTGAATGCAATAATAGGTAGAAGCAAGTGAAGAGTTTAGCCCAGGAGCTGCTTAACAGCATGTTCTCGTGTAAATAGCGGACGCGGGATGTCAGGCTCATGTTTTGCCACGTTCCCGCTTCCTTGGCAGCCATGCATACTGAGTTTCTTCAGGATGTTTCTATACACATCTTGAAACCTTGCTTCTCTTTATCATAGGTCCAGTTGTTTACGTTTTGGATCTTGCAGATCGGCTGATCTCAAAGGCCTGTCCGTTTGCTGCAGCTGGAATAATGGTGGGCTCTATCTACTGGACAGCCGTTACCTACGGAGCTGTGACAGTGATGCAGGTACACATATATTCTTCTCCAGATGTTACCATTTCTGGAAAGCAGTTTTTTCTTTTTTTAAAATCTGTTAAAAGCCTTCTTTCTAGTTTAGAATATCCTTTAGCTGCTCTTACCATTTGCAGTACAGTTAACAAATTTGCCAGATGGGCACATAGAAAGCTTTTTACGTCTAACCGATCAAGCAAAGGGCCACAGCTAATGAAGCTCATTACCGTGCACAGCACATCCAGCAGCAGCAATAAGCTGGTGAACTCTGCTGTTAATGGCCAGCCTCCAAACAAGGGTGTCCCATTGTTCACATTTGGCATAAGATCCATGTCTTGTTTACCTAAGGAAAAAAAAAAGTTGCTGGTAATGCTCAAACGTTTGAGATGCAGTGAATTTTTCATGAACTTAACCAGTTTTGTTTTTTTCTTATCCAGAGAAGACTTGAATACTCTGAATTGTGTAACTTGTGCAAAAACAACAAATGCAAAGCACTGCATATTAATGGTTAATTTAAGTACTTCAACCTGCATGATTGCAAGCCACATAAGAGTTTTCTTTCTTCTCTTGAATTGTATGGTCCATCCATTTATTTCTACCTGTCACTGTCACAAGATTTTGTGCCACATGGTTCTATTTGCACATGTCCTCGGAGCGGAAATGCATGTGATAACTGGAGGCCAGCCAAGCTGCTGCAATCTGGTGGTAATGTGGCCTGTGTCAACAGGCTGCATAAAAATCAGATAATGACTTTTAATGCCTCCTCCCTTCCAGTGGATGATTGTCCAAATTATTTACATAGGAATCTTCTTAACTTCTTGTTGTGGCTCTTACAGTAACATTGCAGTAAATGCAGAATTTAGCAAAGGATGCCAGTCCTTGGCTTCATCTGCTTGCTCGCTGCTATACTGAACCTCTTCTGTGGGAACCTTTATGACTTGGTTGAAGGACGAGAGAAGCACAAAAGCTATTCTTAAGCTTCAAACAGATAAAGACAAAATAAGGATTGGCATTGTGGCTGCAGTGATAGGCTAAGCCAGTAACAAATCCTATGGGAATGCTGACAGTTTTGAGAGAAATGGTGTCCTAAAGCAGGAAAGAGAAGGCAGTCAGGGATGGGGGAGTTGGTGGAAGACGCCTGCGTGGGGGGAAATGGATAGCAGCCAGGCACAAGTCGAGGGGGAAGGTGGTGAAGAAGCTGGAAGACAAATGCTGGATATTTGTCCCTGAAGGAATAATCTTTTGGCAACAACAACATCGGTTATTCCTATTTGTAGAAACTGTGGTTAAAAAACAGCTTCCCATTTTAGAAGAGATGGAAAGTTTTTCAAAACAAGGCTAGAGTAGGTGACAGACCACAGTATATTCAGCCCGTATCTTCTTTCTCTCAATCCCACCTATTCCTGGTACCAAGTACTGTGTGTGTCTGTCCTTTTGGTTTTGTTTGTTTTTTGCTATTGTCACATGGTCTTAACATCTCATCCAACCCCATGCAAGGGAAGGCCCTGACAGCTTTTTGCATATCTGGGTAAACAGCAATAAAAGACAAACACATCAGGAAACCCAATGCCTTACAAATAATTATGTTTTTAATGGGTTTCCTCTTCCTAGAGGCTTATGAGAAAAGTCATGAGATCCCATTCTTTCCAGAAGTGCTTAACAGTAGCTAAATTGCTGTTAGCATTTAGTAATTCTTATTTTGAGACAAAGCTGGAGGAAATCTACCATTGTTTTATTTTTTTTCCTTGGATTATCAGACTTACTTTTGAGACTTTATATATTAGCTGTGTGTCTAAATATGTACTTGAATCCAGCCTTAACTTCTCTGTTTTTCTGAGGCATTAGATTTTTGCCCCCTGCAAGCCTGCCTTATTACTGAAGAAAAGCCAAAGAGAAGTTAGTCTAATAGCCGGTTTGGTTTCCTACAGGCCCTCTGCACTCTCTAAAGTGAAAAATGTATACTTTTTAGGAGAGGGGAAAAAAAAAAAAAAGCTTCCTTTTGAGTAGTTAATATATGTGTATTAAAACGAGCAAAGTCTGATTTTTATTTTGACAGAAGAATGGTCTTAGATGCTTCAATAATGACCTAGTTTAGTATTTCCTTGAAAACAGTAGCACTAACTGTGTTTGAAAATAAGCTGCAAATAAAGACATGCGGTTGTTACTTCTGCTAGAGTGGAAAATAACATACCACTTTTTGCATTATGTAGAGAACTAATACTTTTTAATGCTGTAATTTCTGCATCTAGTATTTTTAAATAATTGATTGAATTGCTTTTGATTTAAAATGTTCTGAGATAATTGCTATCAATTAATCCTTTAAACAGTAACATCTGATTTTGATTGTAGGATTAATCATTCTACACTCATACGTTTTCCTAGACACTTTGGAAAACCCTGTTTTTATATTTCATATTATTTTTGAGTCAAAATGCATGGTCCGTCCCCATGAAACCAGATGCCTTGAGAAGTGTGTTCTTTGACTGTGAACTCTGTGACATTTGTCAGTTAGCCAGTCAGCTCCCTGCTTGTTTTCCAGGTTGTGGGTCATAAAGAAGGTCTCGATGTCATGGAGAGAGCTGATCCTTTATTTCTTCTGATTGGACTTCCCACCATCCCAGTCATGCTGATATTGGGCAAGATGATTCGATGGGAAGACTATGTGCTCAGACTATGGCGCAAATATTCTAATAAACTACAGATTTTGAACAGCATCTTTCCAGGTAATGTGACAAAACAAGTTTGCGCTCATGTCTTCAAGAGGTGGGTATAGACAAGTAGTTTTCACCCCTGTTAACTAAGAGGGATACCTTTTCTCTGTTTAGACTGTGCTCATACAGCACCCGGCTGCAGGAGGAGAGGAACATAAACCTGGCTTCAGTCAGGGGCATCTCCTCTCCTGCCTGCTACTGGCTGCTACAAGGTACTCTGAATCATGACTTTGGGTTTGAAACTGGAAAGGAGCACAATTTAATGGAAATAAAATACTTCCTGAGGAGAAGGTCACTGATTAAAAAAGTGATTGAGTAACTAAAACAGACTGTTCATAGACAGCAAAGCCAGTTTTCTTAGTGCTTCCTGTATTCTGTTTGTGGTAGTGGCAAAGCCAGTTTTTTTAGTGCTTTCTACGATCTATTTGCAGTAGTGGCTCTGTAACTCCTCTTCTCCTATCTTCATCCCTCTAGGCATTGGTTGCCCCGTTCCTCGTATTCCAGCGGAGGCCAACCCTCTAGCAGATCACGTCTCTGCTACTCGTATCCTCTGTGGAGCTCTGGTGTTTCCCACTATCGCCACGATAGTTGGCAAGCTGATGTTCAGCAGTGTTAATTCAAATTTACAAAGGACAATCTTGGTAAGATTTGGTATTGCTTGTTTCATAACTGGCTATAATAATTTTATAGGAATGTGGAGTTTAGTTGTGTGTGTGTGTTAAGGAAAGAGAGCATCAGCTGAACTAGAATTCAATGTGGCATTTGTTTAATGGCAGAATTTTTTTTTTTTTTTTTTTTAAAGATCCTTATCTTGGCAGTGGACAAGCATTGTGTTGTGTATGTGAGACCAACCTCTTTCTATAACAGAAATTGATCTCAGTTCTAGATAGGGTAGAAACTTGCCTCTGGTGCTAGTCAGATCTTAACAGTAATTTAATAGTGATAATGAAGGTGAGAATCTAGGGTGTTTTTAAGAACGATCAGTGCAAGGGAAAGCTCAAGGTTTGTACATTAGCCTTTTTGTATTAGCTTCTGAGTCCTATCTTTGAAAGAATCCACTTATTTCAATAAAGAGGGAAAAACGAACTCTCCAGAGAACTTGAATGCAGGGGGAAGAGCAAGGAGGGGTCTGAGACCATCAATGTGGACTAAAGGCCTCCTGGAATGTTTGTGTGTTGAAATTTCTAGATGAGGGTGAAGCCTTTATAAAGAAAGCTTCCTGGTTTACTAAGGCAGATTTTTGTCTCACGCCATACTTGCCTTTGGCAAGTGGACTTTGCCAGTCTGATTGTGGTAATGGTAACTAATATTTTGTCTTCTACAATATTTCTTCAGAGAAGGGGAGAAGAACAAATACATACCTGCATTTTACTTTTGTTCTTCAAATAGGATAGATTCTGACTTTTAAGAATATTTGTCAAACTGCCAAGCAAATAAAAGCTTTCAAAAAGATTTATAGACTCTGTATGTAATTGCTTTACGTAACATGAACCCCAGTAATACTGCATTGTGACAGAAAATGTTATGCCTATGATACTCATTTGGAATTGTCCTAATTGGCTTGACTTCAAAAGAAATGCTATTTGATCAGAAAATAAACAGTCTTTTGCCAGAAGTCTCTTTTTAAAAAGATAATTTGCAATGATATGATACTGAACTCTGTAGGTTTTAAAAATCTCCTTTTATTTCAGGGTGGAATTGCTTTTGTTGCTATAAAAGGAGCTTTTAAAGTTTACTTCAAGCAGCAGCAATATTTGCGCCAAGCTCACCGCAAAATTCTAAATTATCCTGAGCAAGAAGGAGCATAAGGCTGTGACCGCTGGATGTTGCACAGATTCACCTAAGATTTCCTTGTTGTATTGATTCCATCATCATTGCACAGTAGTGGAGAATTGTGATAAGTTGCTGCTCGTATTTTTTTCTTCTTTAAAATAAAGCACTGTCTTGTGGCAGGGTAAATTCTTTCAGCAACCACTGAACCTAAGAATGTGACTTATTTTCATTATTTTGGGATATTTCTGTTGGGCAAGAGGCTTCTGAATTACTTTATTTGAGCCAAAATGCTGAATGAAAAGAAAAAGCATCAACTGTAGAGAACAAAGTATTTTAAACTGTGTAGCTAATTTAAAATGTTGGCTATGTCTGAATGCCTTTCCTATACTGTGTTTTGATACCCAGGCAAATCCAGTTCATTACTTGAGACGGGGATTTTCTGAAAGGAAATATGGGTCATTACTAAGGAGAAGTAATTGTGGGTTACTGGCCATTAAAATTTCCTTTTTTCTTTCTCTTGATGTGAAACAGGGAGTGTAAAATAGTGAGATGACAGGCCAGAGAGGCACAAGATGGATCACTTTCTAGAGGACCCATATATGTCAACTTTAGCCACCTAAGTACTAGGTTTTAAAATGAGCATGGCTTGTAGGTGATTTTTTTATTACTGTCCAGGAGTTTCTTAAGCAGTGGCTAGTGTTACTTTCTCGTGGCACTTTTGCTGTTTTGTGACTGATACTGGATAGCATCTTTTTCCACTCATGTAAATTACAAGGATCAGTGAATTTCAGCCACTCAGTTTGTAATTAGTTTGGTTTTAGAACAATTGTTTTGTAATTGCAAGTGCATTTGCTGTTCCTTTTGATTGTCTAAGTATCTGTACAATTAAAAATAGCAGAAATGTGAGGAAGCAACATTGGACATTAAGGCTGTATTTAAACTGACATACTAGGGCATCCTTCTAAACTTCCAGACCTAGGTGCCCAGCTCAGCCCTGTATCAGGACTAGACTCTCCCCCACCTGCAGCTCCCCTGGAAGGAAGTCAGTCCAGGTACCTTGGCTACACAGGGAAATAAATCCAGGTGCTTTGGCTGAAGCGGGGGCTGCACTACACTTGGAGGTCCCCGTTGGAGCATGGTACATTCTTGGAGGCTAGATGGTTTAAGACAACAACTTGGCTCCTTTTTGTAAAGGATGGATATTAAATGTGTAATAACCTAAGTTATTTTATTTATACAGTAAGCTTTACTGTTACAATATGTGCGGAGTAGCCTGCTGAAGAAGACATTAGCACTTCAGTTATTTGTCATATTTATAAACTTCAACAGAAATAAACTACAAGAAGCTAAATTTTGACAAACATTATAATAGCTATTTAATAGTCATACCAGACTTAACCTAGTTTTAGTACTTGAAGTCCTTGCTTTACAACCACCTTGTTGTTTATCTCATTTTTTTTTTCTTGTTCATGGTAGTATGTCAGATGCATGGGGAAAGGTAAAAACTGTATCTTAGTGGGAGTATTCATAAGTAAATATTGCTTTCCACCAGAAATGAAGTAAATACAGAGTGGACTTCATATTTGATTGCAATAATGTATGTTAGTGACATTCAAAATATGGTACCTTTTCTATGGTATGTTTATCTTCAATACTGCAATGTAATATTTTAGAATTGTATAAAAATGTATATAATTGCCAACTAGTATTCAGAATTACAGGTATTGAAAATAATACATTCATATCAAATACTTTGAGGTTCTTGCTATAACTGAAGAATTACTATAACCTTGTAGGTCTGCTGATTATATTTGTCTTAGAGTGGGCTGACTTTTATATTAAATCTTTAAATATACAGCAGCAACCTCAGAAAGTTGCTGCTTTCTGTAAGATAGTCTTAAAACAATGTAATACGTTTTTCTTACAGAATTCCTCATTTGGAGAACATCTTTTCAGTGGTCTTCACTGTATATATTTCCAACCAGTTTATTACTGTTTTTTAAAGTCTCATGAAGAATTGAATGATGCAAATTAGCGGTTTTGAAACTTGTTCAATGCGAAAGCTCATTGTCTTCTCTGAAAATTGAAGCTCTTGTAAAATACAATTGCAAAAACACCGTATGAATTATAGAACAATTGAACTGGGTGACAGAAGGTCATTACTTTGATTACTATGTTGTAAATCTTGTTTTTAGTATTGCAGACTATCGTCATGTTGAATTAGGTTGAATAAATATTTTTTACATTCCTTAGTGTTTTGTCAATTGAACAAAACCAAAACTACTGAATGAAAAATTCACATAGCTAAGGATTAAAATAATTCATTTTATGCTGATGGCTTAAATATCTTAGTGATAAAGGAGCACATACTTTAAGTCTATAAACTCACACTTAA